CTGGATATAAAGAACACCTGAAGAATGAGAATCAATTTAACAGTAGCCAACCTAGTACTGTTTCTTTCTTGACCAAAATAAATTTCGGCCATCACTATTTATGAACCGAACACAGACGTAATTACACATATCACATATGCATTGGAGAGAGAGAGAGAGAGAGGAAATGATAGACCTTCAAGATATCGAAGTCTTCTTCCATCATAACAACATCTGAATTAGAGAATGCACGAGAGGGGCCTCAGTTAAGCAACACCCAAACATATCCCTACTGTAGCAAGATAATGTCTACAAATTATATACAAGCTTTAATGGAAGGTTTGCGAATTCAAAGTACAAAAGAGAATTTGAAGACCTACCAGCGATGCTCGGCAAACGCTTAACAACACTGAGTCTCTAGTTCTAATCCCTGAATTTCGGCAATTATTTAGGCCGGGGTCCAAAGCGCTGAATTTAGCTCCGGCCAGGGTTTGATGTGTTTTTATCAAGAATTTGACCCGGAGCCTAGAACTAATATTGACGGGGATACTGCAGGGGATATTAGGAAGGTCTCGGATTTTAATTCGGTGTTCGTTCGAGTAATTGACGTTTTAGTACGGGGAAGCTTAAACCGATGTTTGAACCACCAGATCTGGTGAGGGATTAGCACGGCATACCAGGTTTGTCGTATCACGATAATTATATTGATGCTTAGAATTGATCTAGGTGAACTAGAATGGCATGATTAGGGGTGTATGAACTTTTGTGTTATATGTTGAACCTTGGATTGATGTATGATATTATTGACTTGCCCTAATCGATATGAACCTTGTTTACGCTGATGATTGTGTATATGTTGCAAATTGTGGGCTGGACTGTTAATATGCTTTACGATGGTTCGAGAAGGTGATTAGGTATGACTTTTCATGATTGTTGTATTTTGATGCACAAGTGGGAAAATATATATTCCCTGGTGATATTATGATGTTTAAGGAGGATGACTTGCACGAGGGTTTATCCCGAGGAAGTGCAATTATACGACTCTTGATTTACCTATGTTGAGCCAATTATGGCCAGGTCAAGTACATGTGCAAGTAATGAATTATGATTAATCAAGATGAGATATGAATAATGTATAAGGATACCAAATATGAGTGTTGTGGTCTCACGGTCAACTACATAGTAATTAGGGCTCCCTATGCTATTACTCTATTATGATATGTATGATAGTCACACCTCTCATGTGGTGGTGACTGAAGAATTCTTATGAGATATGACCACACCCAGAGCGGTGTCGGGGTATGACTACACCCATAGTGGTGTGGGGTATGTATGACCACATCCGACGGGATGTTGGGGTATGTATGACTACATCCGACGGGATGTGGGTTAGGTTTCCCGGGAGAGTTATTAGCATGGGAGTAGCCAGGCGCCTATGATTAAAACATGATAAGATGCATATGCATAAGTCAAGGTGGTTGAGTCTTTTGCCTATTGGGATATGAGGATGGCCGAGGTCCGATCCTAGTGTTTTGGCTTGATTGTTAGATGTATGATAGGGGTATGCTCTATTATGAACTCACGATGCTATGATTATCTCACTCAGCTATGAGCTGACCTTCTTTTATTCTTCTTCTCTGCTTATGCTATGTGTAAGCAGATCATCAGCAGCAGTAGATAAGTGTTAGGTGACAGAGGAGGTAGAGTTGAAGCCAGGATGAGGTATGGTCTTCAACTATTCTGTGCTTGGAATATTACTCGGGATTTTGGCCAGTGATCCACACCTTATTGTAAAAATGCTTTGAGAATGTTTTTCATGTGCATACTAGCTTCTGATATAGTGTGAGATATCCACAGGTGTGGAAAGTTGATGACATGTGTATATGTTGTGTAACTGTGTAAGTTGTGACGATTATGGTATATATAAGTATGGTATGCAGTTGTGGAGTATGAAAAGTGTGACTATGGCTAAGAAAAGCCAATGCATATGGTTGTGAGTATATATGTTTGTGATGAATTATTTTGCAGGATAAGTTGCAAGAACTGTTAGCCCATTACGCGATTAATTCATGTTGAAATTTTATTTGGGTAAATTTTGATAATTAATGTAACACCCGAGATTAATTCCGCTGCAATTGTATGAACAATATGATTAGGCAAAACGTATAGGGTAGGGTGTTACACCCTTCTTCTTCCTTTCAGCTCTCTATTTATACCCAGATCGCGGTTCATGGCCCCAATTCACGGCCGTGAACATCAGGCCGCGTTCGTGAACTCTGTGAACTTGGATCAAAATGCGCCGCTTCCCTTCTGGGGTTCACGGTTTGTGGCTCCAGTTCACGGTCTTAGCGACATGAACCACCTTGGCGTCAATAACTTCTAAAACCCCTCTAGACGTTTCACAGTTAACGGTCCATGCGATCGTGAACTCCAATGCTGGACCGTGAACTATGGCTGAATCCTCCTCTTTGATCCTTTTCTTCCAACTTTCGACTCCGGGATTGATTTCACCTGTTAGACTCTGAAACACATTCAAACACAAGAAACCTAGCGTAAAACCACCCCTTTTGGAGCTCAATTGCCGCAAGCGTCAAAGAGAAACGAGGATAAAAAGTGTATAATTAGGCCTGAATCAAGCATTACATGAGCATATTTATTTATTCAATTGTTATTATGAGTTTCACCATTAAAGCAAAACTAGAATTAGGATTGACCCCAACACCTGCATTCCAGAGTTGTAGGAGTATACCATTTTTAGGAAATTATTTGCTGACTGACATACTTCAACATAATTACTTTTGACTCTAGAGACTTCGAGATGATGAATCTAATTTAGTACTAAAGTAGGAAGAGAGACACACCTGGTGAATCTTTTATTCAACATTCTCTTATTAAGACCATAGAATGTTCATGCAAACTATGACCTTTGTCTGGAATGTGAGCAAATATCATGTCGATTGCCCAACCGTACTTTGGCTATCTAAAGTGGAGTTGAATTCGGGTTTTTTCGTGTTCTCGTTGAAACACAAAGGCATGCTCATTGCTTATGGGGACACTTGATGTAATTTATAACGAGTATTTATTACGTAAAAATGTTTCAAGTTATGTTGACATTTACATCGAGCATTTTCTTTTATAAGACTTTTTTCTTATTTAGTTCATAGGCTGACTCCAATGCTCACCCCAATTTTGGGGATATCGCCATTTATGGCGACTTGAGGATTCCAACAAGCCAAATAAATGCCGAGGGGCATCATTATTCGGCGAGATCTCTATCTATTTTGCCAAAATGGGGAAGGGAATTGGGATGGTAGCGTGCTGGTGGCGGGACAATCGCTTGTCCAGTCGGTGCGCCACTCGCATTGTCCCCTCCACCACTTTGTTTTTATACATTTTTCGGGTTTAATTAAGGGTTAGGGTGTTTTAATGATTGTTTTAATTAGGGGTTAGGGTGCTTTAATTTTATCTTTAATTTTTTTAATGGTTGTTTTATTATTGGCTGTTGTACAAGGCTGTCAACCCGCGGCCTGCGGGTTAACCTGGACCAGGCCTTGAAAACGGGTTAAAATAGCCCATTTAAGAGTTAGCACGAAAATGGTCAAACCCGGAAAACCCGGTCAAACCTGGGTGGTTGCCCCATTCGAGCGGGTCAGCGGGTTACTCGTTCCAAAGTGTCATTGAATTTTTACTATGTTGAATTTAAGTTGATATTATTTATGTGTGTTGAAGTTTAAGATCAGTTGTTTGTTTATGTTGGATTATAAATAAGTATTATATAATGACTTTTTTCATATTTTTGGGCTAAACTGTGCTAAACCGAGCTAAAACGGGTGACCCATTACCCTTGACCCACTAGCTCGACCTGGTCCATGTCGACCCGCGGTTGACAACCTTGTTGTTGTATCATTTTTTGCCAAAAAAATACGGTCTCAGAATTTAAAAAAATTCTATATGAAAATTTGTATTTAAAATGATGACGAACTATACAAAAATTAACATGAAATAATTAGATTAAGATGATCATAAATATATTTTTAAGTAAAGAAAAACTTAAAAAAAATGAAAATCCCTAAATTTGGAGATATTAGCATTGGAGAAAAATAATGAAAATGAGGATAATCCCCAAATTTGAAGATGAATATCCCCAAATTTAGGGACTAGCATTGGAGTTGGTTTTCCAACCTTCCACATTCTCCAACAATTCCGACAGAGAAGAAGAGTATGAATGATAATGGGGCAGGTCCGGGGCGGGTATCTCGATACCCATACCAGCCCCGTGTCAGGTCGGGTAATTTATCATGGGTCACGAGTCGGGGCAGGTCGACCAAATGGGTAAGCAATTTATATGCAAAACATTAGAATATTCGCTATTTTCATTATAAGACAAAGAAAACAAAGCATAATATGATAAATTTAGTTAAATTATTGGAGAAATTGAGGTTTTCACTAATTTACAACTTTATTATATCTAAAATATGGTGTATTAAAAGGAAAATACTAAGTAATTTGACTAAGATTACATGTAATTTAAGAAAGAACGGATCGAGAATGAGGCGGGCCAGGTCAGGTCGGGTCAATGAGAGTACCCATGCCCGCCCCGCTTCGCCTATGGCGCGAGTTGGACCCGTCCCAAAACAGGTCAAACAGATCGGATAAATCGGGTCAGGTCGAAATGCCTTCCCTACAAAGAGAGAATAAAAATGAATTTTAGAGACACCAGAGTCGAAATCATCATGAATTAAAAACCAAATCTTGAACATATCAAATGTGAGTTAATAAAATGTGAGTTAATAAAGGCACTGAGAATTTTGCAAATGGAGATTCGATTTCAGTCTGGGCGGATGAAGACCCACATTTTGGCCACAAAAGACAAGCAACCGAAACAGATTGACAGTTTTCGGCATGAGCCCTCCTCTCCTTTCCTGTGGGACGAAACGATCATAACTCATAAGCAATTAATATAATAATACATAGCAATAAAGTTTATATATGAAAATATTATTAGCAATTAATTTTTAATTTTTTATCAGACCCCTCCCCTCCATTTAGTCCGTCTTCCTTCTCTCTGCACTCTTGTTCAGCATAACAGAGCACCGTCTCAAGAAAACGAAGCATCAAGCGAAATAGCAAAGCAAGACGTAATAGAAAAAAGGAAAGACCAACACAGCAAACCCAGAGCTTAGAGTTCCGTTTTGTTTGCCTTTCCGGCGGTGGGATTCCGGTATAGTCCCACCACCGCGGCGGACCACTGATTTAGGCGTGAAAGGGGTGATTAAGAACACCAGAACGGAGAGAAACCGGAGCTGTGTAGGGATGGAGAAAGCAGACGTCTGAGTAGGTCAAGGTCAGGCAGCATTGTGCAAAACCCACATTTGTAGATTGGAAGGAAGGCAGAGAAAAATTAGGTATCTGCACAACGAACTTGCTGTGGCTCTTCCTTGTATAAACTAGTAACAGATACTCTCCTCTTTCTGTTTTGCAAAGCTCATTCAGCATTTTCCCTACTTTCTCGTTTCTTCTTCTTCCTCTGCAGGGCCGAGCACCGCCGATCAGTAGATATAGGAGCTCGAGAGCTGAAAAGTTCATTATGGCGGCGATAGCCCAGCGGAAGGTTGGTTTGTGTGATCTCACAATTACTTTTGGCTCCTTCCTTTTTACCTCGTTTCGTGCAGTCATTTTCTGCTTATTTGTTCTCTGTTTTTGTCCTTTGTTGCGTGCGTCTATGGGCTCTCTCTCTTTTTCTGTTTAATTAATTCATGGAACTTGCAGGTCAGGGTGCTTTTTTACTTTTCATTCATTGAAAGAGCAACTTCCTCATTTTTCCAAGCTCCTTTTCTTACTCTGCAAGTATGACTTTGCTTAGGGTTCGCTCATTTCGATCCTTCTTCCTTCAAAAGCTAAAAGAGATTGGTGCCTGTCTTCCCGTTGATCTTCTCTGTTCATCTTTATTTTCTGCTTCTCTTTACGTACTGACTTCTGCTTTCTTGAATGGACTCCATCATACTTTTTTGCCCTCATAATGTCTTTGGCCCCTCTATGTGAAATGTGCTTGTTGATTCAGACCATTATGTTTGTCCTGGATATTTGGTTCATCAAACAAGGGTTTCCCTTTACTAGGTGGATTTTGCACTGGTAGATAGAATTTCGGGTGCAATGCTCAACTCCTCCATTCTGTGTCTTCTCCTTGTTTACTTTGTCATTTCTTAGGAAGACCAGCTTTCGTTGTTTAGAAAGCTTTACAAGTGTGTTGATCTTCACGTTTCCCCTGCCGCTCCAATGCCACTCATACAATCAATTGTATGATATAACTGCTTTCTGGGTTTGTGTTTCTGTTCTTGCTGAACCTTTAGACATGTACAATGCGCCATATATCACATGAACATGAAGGTGATAGTCAGAAAGCTATATCTGGTTCTTTTTATTGTTTTCTTTAATAATAACTTCTCCATTATTTCTTTTTCTTTCTATTGGGTAAGATTTGTGAGATATGTGGCGGTGTTGATGATAAAGATGAGCTGATCTATACTTGTATCAAATGCGGAGTAACAACTGAGCATATGTAAGACCCTTCTCTCCATGTATGTTATTGCTTTTCTATGTGTTAATAGCATCGTAGTGCATCTTATGTTCAATTGTAACTCAAGTCTTTCCTGCCTACCTTTAACGACACTTTGATTCCTGTTTGAATTAGTCATTTTATAAATCATAAAATGGAATTTGGTTTGGTGTTATGTTAAGCAGATATAAGTTCCCATGTCTTTATACTAAGACTTCTTTCTCTGCTACTTTCTTTGATTTAATGTCTCGGCAAAAATTTCTGATTTGATAGTTATATGATTCTGATTTGGAATCTCAATATTTATGAGTTTTCTGTGCTGATGCTGCACGAGTTATATGTTTTCAGATACTGCATGCGAACTAGGACCGAGGATCCCGATTGGGTTTGTGAAGAGTGTAATGCTAAGGCACCTGAATCTACAAAAGGGGTCTTTCAGGAACCTACAACTCTGTCCTTCCATAACAAAGTGATACCTGGAGGTCCTTCCAGAAGACATTACCCCTTTAAGAGGCAAGTAAGGCCTGGAAAAGTTAAACATATATCTGAAGAAGAGGTGATTAAACTAATGTCAGGTGCTGAGTATGTGCGGACTACAAAAGCCAATATCACCCAGAGACCTAGTTCAATGGCACAGAAATTTCCCGTTATTTCTTTTAAAGCAAACCCGAGAATCCCTTCTGGTTCTGCGAAGAATGCTGCTTATGGCGGAAGAAATTTTTGCTCAACTTTCACCCCTTCAGTACCCAGGAGATCAGAAGGTAAATATTCATGCTAGTCTTTGACCAAACCCTCTTACCTGAATATTAAAAGTATGCTTTTCATGTGACTTTTTGATTGTTCTGCTTGAGAAGAGTAGTTAGTTTTCCTTTTGGTACACCAGAAAGAGTTTGGAAAGACTTTGATGTTCTCGTAATAATTATAATTATTCTGAGTTCTCAGCTGGCAGCTGACTGCTATGTACCTATGTTTCTGGTTATCGCAGAAAAGAGGGCCAAAGGTTTTGATAGCAGTGCGGAAAAAGTGAAGAAAACACTTTGGACATCTTCAAAAAAACAAGTTGAAGAGCAGAAACGGTTCAATAAAGGTAATGGCTTAAGTAACCATTGAACTGACTTCTCAAAATCTTTTCCTCCAAAAGCACAGCTCGCTGGCAAAATCTTTTTGCTTTGCTTCTCATGTGGTGAATTAAACTTCCCATTCTCTTCTTTCTCATTTACAGACGGTAACCATTCTGCTTCTTTGGAAACTATGAATATGGATGTTCTCGAAATGAAGACTCTTGTCCAAAGGCTTAGGTCTTATGAACCTTACTTACCTGCTAAGCATGCTACTTGGAAGTGAGTATCAGTTACATTTCTATTGTCAATCAGATAACTTGTTCTTCCTATAACTTGTTCTTCCTTGTTTTTGTTATATGTACGTACTTGCCAAGCTCCATAATAATGAAGCTTAAGAGCAGCTTATCATTTATTAAATTGTTTTGGATTCTTCTGGCTGGTTCCATTTTCCATTTCTGTAGGGGAAGTTTTAAGATTCTTGACAATCAGAAGGAAACCCAAGTCCACCTATCAACCAGGGTATACAAAGCCCATGGGCTTTCATTGGAGCTGCCAGCGCAATTTCAGGTCCGGACAAAGTTTCATTCACTTTCAACATACAGCAATGTACACCTTTCAAATTATTTCACTTCGGGGGTTCTGAATCTAACGCCAGTTTATCTACAGCAATTCCAAGCTCAGCCTGCAACGAGGGTATGCCTAGACGCTTATGAGCTTTCGCTGAAGATGCCAGCTGAACTTCAGGTTAAGTTGCTTCCACGATCTGAATTTTGGACGCCCTTGTTTGGTAATGATCCTCCTGACCTACGGGATATAGCATTCTACATTTTCCCTGCTGCTGAAGCTGAGAGGTATGTCCCTCTGCTTAAGGTTCTGTATATATATTCTGAACAATGTTGCCGATTAGTTATTAAATGTCAGTTGTATATACACTGTGCAGATCAGTAGAGAACCATACTAAGTTGCTTGAATGTATGGAAGCACAAGACCTTGTGATGAGAACTGATGTTGAAGGTGTTGAGCTGTTGATATTTTTGTCTAAACAACTAGATACCAACATGCAAGGTAGGGTAATGTCTTCTTCTAGTCCACTGGTTTCCTTGTTAAATCTGGGTGCTTCTGTCTATTAAGGTTTGAGTTGTTTAGTAGCATTTTGTTGGTAAGACAGTTTGACTGGTCAGGCATACATGCCTTCAATTTTACAGAGTTTACACCGTGGGTGTGTTTATTAAACTTTTGCTGCCAAATAATAGCTTAATAGTAGAAGTTAAATTAAGTGTCTGGTTAGTTTTTGGACTAAAATAGAGTTGGTGGGATGACAGATAGTGTTTTCTTTTTTTCTTAATGATAGTTTGTTAATTTTGGAAATTGACTAGTTAGGTGCAATTTTAATGATAGATTCGCAGTCATGTGGCTCGGCATTTGGTTAGTATGAAGTTAGGCCCTTTTCGATGCGCTTCTACATAGGCATTTTATGCAAGGGATTACGATTAAGCATACACATTATTTGGCACCCACACTGTTTCTGATTGCCTTTTTGGATTATGCACTTCTGCAACAGATATCATCGCTTGGTGGGACATGAAACAGTTCTTATGGGGCGTGTTTAGTCCAGCGGATGCTGAAGTTCAGGTATTACCACCTCGAGTTCATATTCCTGTTCCTGAATATAGTGATCAACCAGATTGTGGTATTTCCAACCTAGACAAGGATGATGACGCGGATAGCATGATGGAGATAGATATGGAAGGAGGAAAGGAAGTGGGACGACCCGATATTGTTGTCCGGAGAAAAGATCATTATCCCAGAACAATTCCACAGTTCAATGGTGAAGTTGCTGTTGCTGACATGAATGCTTCTAAACTTTCAATCCACACAACCACTAGTCCTTGCATCAACATGCAAGCGGGAAGTAAGAAATGCAAAATTGAGAGTTTGGAGGGCACCCTTGTGGAGAAATCTGCTCATTATCAATTGGGTCAACATCTGTCTGATGTCAAAGTAGAATGCGATGATCAGGAAGAGGAGGTCAACAGCAGCATACTATGGACCCCACCCCCAGCAGATTGGGTGAAGTTGAATGTGGCAGTGGCTACTTCTTTCTCGGGAGGAGCTACAACAGCAGTAGCAGCAGGAATCATACGTGACAGTGCTGCCAATTGGCAAATTGGGTACACTCTCAAGTTGGGAACCACTACTACTCACTGTAGCAACAGTTTGAAAGCCGAGTTGAAGGCATTACTTGAGGGGTTGAAGCTTGCTTGGGGCAGAGGGTTTACGAAAGTTGTGGTGGAGCTTGAGTCTAAGACAGCATTGGAGTGTCTGACGAACAAACAAACTACTGCTGCTAGTAGTACTACTACTTCTCCACATGATCTAACGGAAGCTGAGCTTACCAGCATGTGCAAGGAGAGGATAATGCGTAAATGGGATTGCAAGCTGCAGCTAGTGAGTGTGGAAGGGAATTCCAGTGCTCAAATGTTGGCACACACTTCTTTTCTTGGCAAAACCTCGGAATTGAATGTGATGGAGAACCCTCCCCGGGACCTGCACCTCTTCCTGGAAATTGATGGTATGAAGCTATGATGAGTACTCTGATTTGACTTTGTAGACACAGCCTCTGATAAAAATGTGGAGTATAAAGATTAGACGAAAGGAGTACAGAAGAAGAAAAAGATAGATTGGAAATTGTAAAGGAAGAAGATTATTAGCATAGTCTGGTATATGACTGCAATAGCTAACCCAACTTGGTAGGAAGAAATGATAATGTGTAAGAACAAGCAAATGGTTCTAGTAAAGAAAACGTTTATACATGGTTCTAGTATAATTTCGATAAGTACTTATTGAAGTCCGATACTTCAATTTATATATTGTGATTATTTTAATATTTCATTTAAATTCTTATATATCTTACAAATAAGGATAACTTTAAAATCACAACTCAAATATCATTTGTTCGAATATTGCATATCAAAATCCAGTATTGAATATGCATAATTCTTAAATTAGTATTAAATTTTAGAACTACTATGAAGCAATCATATTCGTATCTTTGTGCGGTCTATATGAGACTGGTCCTTTGAACGTTTTAGATCGGGTAGCCGCTAAGTTTTAAACCCCTTTCTAATCCGGCATGATTGGATCCAACAATCGTTAGACGAGGTTAAGTTTAATATGTTGCATCATTTCACCCTTTTTATGTGTTAATGAATATGTTGGGCAAAGATATGTCTACGTATACACTTTACACAATATATAATATTGGAATGAGAAAATTGTTGCCTCATTTCAAATTTCCTACAGAGAGTGAAATTATGAATGATATTTTTGTCTTCACAATTATTTATCTTTATTATTTATAGAAAAATAGAAAATTTTGGTATTTGAACCAATGTATCTTCAAACAAAGACAAGACTTATAACCATGATTGTCAACTCGAGTTTGACTCACTTGGTCGAACCAATTATTTACAAACTCGAGTATCGCATTGAGCGTGGAAGACTGAATCAGTTATCCCCTGAAAAACCAATCAAATTGAGAAATTCAGTCGATTCAACTGATCCGAGCACCGAGCCACTTCAAAATGATGTCGTTTTTAACAAATCGTATTCGTAGCTCCATTGTCGTGACATCCTTTTCATTATCACAAACCCTACAACAACGAACATAAAAAAATCACATGTTCGACTATCTCACCGTCTCTTCTTCCTTTAGGCTCGACAGGCGACAATTCAAGGCTCAACCATCTCATACACCATCCCAATCCATCAGTAGTCAATTCCATTTGCGTTTTCTATCAACACAATAATAGCATCAATTGACCTCATCTCATACAAAGAAGAAGCAAAAAAGTTTAGAGGAACATGCATTTGGGTTGAGACTTTGTGTGACTAACAAATGCCAAGTTCCTCATTTGTATATGAGCTTAAAATTGAATTGGATAAAGTAAAAAAAAGCATCAATAAATGCAATTCAACTCTAATGAATGAATAATATTAAACCATCATTGGACCTAAATTTACCATTAAAAATCCTATATATCTAAGCACAATAATTGTGAAACCTATAAATATTTTTCTTTTCCCCGGTTAAGTTGGGCTAAACCAAGTTTAATTCAATTCTCCCATTTAACTTTAACCACTTCGTTGAATGAGTCAATGAGTTAAATCGAGTTAACAACTTTGGTCATAACTAATTACACTAAATAAATTTATTGTATATTTTAAATCTACAAAATATATGATAGTGAAATTGGCATTATTGCTTTGAAACTAAAATCCCTATTTGGAAGAATACTTAAAACATTCACGATTATTATCAGTTGAATGGTTTACCAAGCATGGAAATTTGCGAATTAACAAATGAAAAGAAAGAAAATGAGCAATTGTTTAACGAGAAAATGACATACGTATGGTGGGTGCGAGTGACGAAGCACACACTCTCTGCATGGTTCAAGTCAGTATGCGGATGATATGCTAATCACCAGCGATCGAATACGACTTTGAAAACTATGGGCTCTTTGTAAGCATTATGATCTTAACTGGTTTAAGAAGTCATGACTAGATGGGAAGAGAAATATTCGATCAGACTATTCAGGTGACCACTAATCTATAGATTGTATGAACTGGTAGGAGAATTTTCTATACTAGAATATTGAAATTTTGGAGAAGATATGCTTTTTGAAGGAAATAAATGAAAGGTTGACAATTGATGACTAGAAAAAAAAATGGAAGATTGTGAGAAACAATAATACCGTGGGGGTGGTACTGGGGTGCAAATTGAGAAAAATTGGCGATTGCAATCCTGGGATATTAGTACTTTTTCCTTTTATGAATAAAATTTATAATACAAAGCGAATTTAGGTAACTTTATGCATAAAATTGGTCACAAATCATTCGAATGAGTTATTAAACTTTATTATTTTTTTCTTGGTCTGGGTATATAGTTAATTAAAATAAAATGTGTTGTAGTATTTCGCCCAATGGTTCTATCTGTCCTATATTGTTGAATTACTACAAGAACTATTTTGATGCTTCTATTGCTGAAGACGATGTTTGATCAGTTATATCGTTCTCCTTTAATCATCTTCCTATACCAGACTTTGAATGTGAATGGGTTTTGGTTTTCGTCCAAGGTTAATTGCTTAACATATGTAAGTCATTCTTTTTTTTCTCTTTGTCTCATGGTTTTATCTTTCTGATTAATAACAAAATTGATTTTTATTTTCAGGTTGTATCACGAGCAGAACATGCAAAAGATATGTTTCTTTTTATCCTATTGCGTAATACAATGTTTGAAGCCCGGTGGATCTCTTGCGTCGTTGCTCCTCTTTATGCTCTTAGGTTTTAACTTCAATGAGCCTTTTATCTTCATAGAAGGTTCATTGAGTTGAACTGGTAGACTATTATTTCCTTCCCATTATATCTAAGTGGTTTGTGATTGATTTATAAAATATAGGAAAGGAATTTGAACGGTGGTTTGGGTGCTAGATTTGTTTGAAATCAAATAGATGTTTTTGTAGAACATGGGCAGTTGTACTTTTCTATCGCCCTATATACTTTTTTATTGTTTGTTTGCTGTAATTTTTTTTTGTTCTTTCGTTATCTATTGAAATAATAAAATACGATCACCATTTTCTTTTTTCAAGTACAATATTTCTGCTCAGGTTTTATTTTGTCATATTTAATGTTCTCCGCAACCATATTTTTCTTCACAAATCTCGATTCTTATGGTCCAGCTCACCAATCAAATTTTGATATTGTTTTAGGATTAGTTAGACACTATTGGTTTTGTCGATGTTTTTAGTGTCCATCAATATAATTGCAAGTCATAATGATTGCTAAAGTTAAGCCTCCAAGCAACAATAGTTTGGGAGTAGGGCATGTTGAACTTGGAGTAGAAGAGTTGGGATTAGGTTTGGTAAGGGAAGTAGCGGGGGGAAGAAATTATGTTTGGATTTGGTAGCAAGTAAAGTTCAACTACATCAGGTGAAGGAAGAAAAGAGGGAGTTGGCAAGGGTAGTGATCAAATTGAGTAGGGTATTGGAAGACATGGAAGCAAAATTGGATTAGTTGAAGAGAGAGAAATGAGAGATGACGAGGATACTAATGAAAATATGAAGGGTATTGAAGGACATGAAAGTGAACTCGAGCAGGTGAAGGCAGTCAAGGAAGATAAGAGCATATTGACGGAATTGGAGATGAGTGTTGATTTTACGAATCTTATTACAACTGCCTCTAAGGAAGATGAGTTGACCAAATACAAGAAGAAGATTGAGGAGTTGAAGAGCGAGTTGACAAGAACCCTGATTGGAAGAGAAATTGAGGGTCATAGAGAGAAGGTCCATCAAAGTAGCATAAATAGAATTGCAGGAGAAGGTGTGTCTAATTTTGTGTCATATTATTTTGATCGAGTCTATTAGTATTATGGAGGTACCGTAATTTTGTCATTTGCGCTCAACTTTTGATGGTCCCCTTTTAGTTGAGTTAGTATATGGTTGACTTGAATCAACAACTCTCCATTTCTTTTAATTAGTGGCATGTTGTTCCTAAAAGTACAACATTGAACCCTTATGTAGGATTATGAGATTTTAGTTTTAGTTTCCAATTATCTATGGGTTGTGTGGGAATTCCAGTGGGCTTTTATACTCTATACCTCCTGACAATCAATTAACCAATAGCATTTTAACGGGGCTTTAATTACCATTATGAAATGGAATTAAGTATACATTTGTATATTTTATATACTTAAATGATGATATTTTTTCAAATATTCAACCTATACATTCATTCTTTAGGTATCATCTCAATCGAAAGATTGCCAATAAAATTAAAAGGATTGATAAAATTAAACATAACATAAAATATAAATACTCAAATACAAGCATTTCGTCCAACGGGTCAGGTTATAAGCTAGTTCGAACAAGATAATCTTGGCCCAAGCTTGTTGCGAGGTTGTTCTTCGTAAGCTTTTTCTTCTCAACTAGATTTGGATATGTCCGTTGGCCGAATATATTATAATTAAACGAATCGTTATATTTTATTTTGTAGGGTTAATATTTTATTTTGTTCCGAACTATACTTAAATAGTCAATTTTGGCCTAGTTTTAGAAATTTCTATTCTACCCTCAACTATACACGTATAGACTAGTTTGGCCGGATGCGTGCTTTGACCGTTAATTTGGTCTGTCAACAACTTTGACTAATGGTCAACTGTCTAGCTCACTGCCATATCAGCGCCAAATTAAAAAAAATCAAAAATCAAATTATTTTCATATTTCCTTTATCTAATAAGAAAAAAAATATTGATAAAAAATAAAAAATAAATAAATTCGGCCCCTTAATCGAGTGTCTCCCCTCTCTCGTCAAAACCCCTCAACCATTCGTCTCTAGCGATCCGCCGCCACCATATTCGGCAGCCGGAATACCTCTCCCAGTTGGGTAGTGCCAAGACGAAATCTTTCGGGGAGATTGTGATCTGGGTCTATGCTAAATTGTAACAGATGGACTTGGTTGCAAGGAATTAGAAGTTACTTGGAAGAAATTAGAAAATGGAGGACTGGTTTGTAATTAGAAGCAACGGGTATATAAACCCTTGTGCCTAACGGCTAACTCATTAATCAAGGCTATAACATATTTTCCCTCTAACTCTCTCTCTTCTCTCTCCTCTATCTCTCTTCTCTATTCTTCTGATTCATTCTGCCATCGTCGAGCTTCTACCTCTGCCAAAGTCGATTGATCAGACTGGGACGTCACAAAGTGGTATTAGAGCCTTCCTTTGGTACCATGACGATGCGATTTGATGAACGTCTCTTTT